CAACTCTAGATGTCTTAAAAACAATATCTCTACTGCACACTATCCAAATCATGAGTCACAGAACCAGCATATGCACATAATCACACATATTCTTTTTTGGTACTCTCGACATTGCAATGTACCCAATTGATTTCATACATATTATGCAGTTCCTAGCACTTAAAACTCCCGGAGCAAAAAAAAAGATACAAGGTGTTAGAACCAACCTCCCCCTCCCAAAAAGAAAAGTACATACATGCAAAAACAAGAAAGATGCAAACATAGTAAGCCTGTTTACTTCCCGTTTCTTCTATAGAATATTTTGCTCATCAGAAAAATTGCACACATATGTATCATATCTAGGGGCAAAACGTTGGCGAAAGGGATGAAAAAGGAAGAAATAAAAAAAGAGAAGGGAAGAGTGAGAGAAACATTAAAAAAAAAACTACCATCCCTCATCCTTCTGATTCTTGCCCTTGCCCTTCCTCGCAGCCTCCTTCTCCGCATCCGTCATCTCAATCAGCTCGGCGCCCTCGAGTCTGTATCCCTTGGCATCAACGATGTGTTCGTTCGACGATGCCAGATATGTCTCGTGCAGTCTCGGCAGGAAATACTGCATAACGTTATCGGCAAGACTCTTCGCCACAAGGCCCTTGTCGACCCAGAAATGTCGGACAAAAACGCCCTTGCAGCCGCCTCTCTTCTCCGCTTCGGGGGCGCCATTGGCCTCGACGCAAGGCAAGACGCGGATATCGTCTGGACGATCGTAATCGTAGCGGAGATAGTTTCCAAAGGCAGCTTGTTCGTGGGCCCAGCCCTTTTTCCACTTGGCGCAGCCCTTGTAGCGGGTTTCCGAGGGGCACTCGGCCCAGGCCTTGTACATTTCCTGGGTGCGCTTGCTCTGGCGGGCAATGACGAAGCCCGTGTTGAGGTAGCGGTTGCCCCTTGAGTCGTAGTTTTGGGGCTCGTTGGGGTCGATGGACATCATGGCGAGGGTATCGTCGGTCATGTTCCAGTAGTTTAGGAGCCATTCGAGGGGGAGGTGGGGGTAGTGGAACATGACATCCGAGTCCATGAAGACAATGTATTCGTGCGTCTTAAGGGCTTCTTTCATCAAGGGTACCTTAACCCAGGTGCCCCAACGGTCTTCGTAGTCGGGTGCGCGGATAAACTTGTAGTCATAACCGTGTATTTGAGCTGTTGAAATGTTAGCGTGGGTTTTCAATTCGTACCAAAAGGCGGGGGTATGGTATTTCAAAGCATTGCTTTAATTGCGCCGTGCCATGGATCCATTGGTGCCCCACACCCGTCTCCAGCATACATACCAAACATGTAGTGACCCAGCATACCGGCGGAAAGTGACCGCATGCCCTTCCACTTCAAGTGCTTGTTCATAAGCTGACCCTCATCCTTCAAGGGCCTACTGTCAATGTCCAAAATCAGGACCTTCTTCCCCAGCTTGCTTTTGTATCTGGGTGCTCCGGGCAACCGGTATACATCTCCATCTTCATCTGTGAACTCTGGGGCATCTATTGGGTGTAACACGGGGCCGTAGAGGGCTTTTATTATCGTCGACATTGTTAGATCGTCTGGTGGAAGGGTTACATTTTGGGTGTGCGGATATCTAGAGAATGTCAGCCGGGTCGAGACTACCGGGGTAGGAGTGGTTCTTACGGTGAAGAAGAAAGACCAGCAGGCATGTATGAGGAGGGAGTGCTGTAGTAAACAAATGCAAGCACCATTGGTACCATGGCGACAAGCAAGACACGACGCCACCGGCCTTGCGGCCCCATGTTTGCCAACGATTGATACGAGTAATCACTCATGATTGACTCTAATTGCTCGAATTTTGATAGAATAGGTGGGCATGCAGCGCCTCAGGGCATGTAGAGGCCCGGCTTTGTGGTGCAGTCTCGACTCCAGCACCGGCAGAGGTCGCAATCGTCTCTCTTCTGCGTCCAGATACGCACAAGGGATATGCGCAATATGCGCGCCACAAGGCAGACTCCGAGAGTATTCGGAAGGCAGCGGGGAATTCGAGTTGACAGAGGGTAGGATACAACAGCCCAGGTTGCGCAAACCGACAAGGAACGGAAAACGGCAGCGCTAGGGCAAAAGGAATATCCTAGGAATAAAACAGGTAGGTGGATGGCTAGGTAAGAGGTGCAGAAGAGTAGTGGGACGCAACAAATCGAGTCCGGAAGCCAGCAAAGGAAGACGAAAGGAGCGTAAGAAAGTTGTTGGTAGTCGTGTTTCCAAAGGAGAAGTGCGTGTCAGACCGGAGTGGTTTGTATCCTTGTTATGCAGCACGACGACTAGTTCCCAGACGGGACTAGCGCGGGTAAATCGGGGATAGCTGCCGGCACGGAAAGGGCTGAAACGCCAGGAAGTCGCGATGCTGCCAGTTGTGGATTGGAGGCGAGAGAATTCACATGTACAAGTGCAGATAGTATGTATGGTCTCTGGACAGGCTGCTGGGCATTGCTGTGCTCCTCCATCAGCTCGGTGGACTGGGTCGATGCCATCCGCCCTGATCAAGGCCCCTTTTCGTTTACGAGGTCGTGCCACTTCAAATAAACTTGCTAGCTTAAAGGCCAACAAGCGCCTCTCGTAATCGTGAGTACACGCAAGCCGCTGCTCGTACCCAGCTCCAATGGGGGCATACCATTGGCGCTAAGCGTACATCCCACTCAACCCCGTGCCCCTCCAGCACTACGTATACCTTTCCCCCATAAAGCGCCTAGTTTGTACGGCTTACCACGCCACGCGTGGCTAGAGTCTGCTCATTGTGGCACCGCGTATAATATGGCGCAGTCATGCACGGCGGCCAATTGCGCGGTACATATTCTCTAAGCATGCGATCCTGGTTGAGGGGTCCGTCAGCTCCGCAGCCTTCTGGTTGGTGCCTGCTATGCATAGAATCTGAGCAATGCCAACCCAGACGCACTCATCCGTCCAGCAAGCGCAACAATTCATAGTCTTTTGCGATACCGGGACTGCTCTTTGCACAGCTCTGAATCAGTTCCATCATGATCCCTACCCATTCTCGCCATCCCTCAGGTAACGTGTCCCGCAACTTGGCGTCGGGAGACAGCGCTACGGCGTGGAACAGCAGAACCTGCCCAAAACACTGGCAGCACCACCCAAACTTTATAGGCAGAGCCGTCAACATCTGTGTACACAGGCCCATGGTTGTCGGCCAATACATGCCGCCTCGAAGGCCTTTGCGCACTTCGTCGTATTCGGCCTCGTTGGTATATGCAGGTGCATGCAATGCTTTGTAGAGAAAAGGCCGGCCAATGTGCAACTTTGCGACCAAGTAGCGGCTGCGCAGCATGTTCTTTGCGATAACATGCGCAGGACTGGCCGAATCGCTCGCGTCGTCGCCATCAGAGAACTGAAGTGTTGGCGGAAGATTTTCCCGCCATTGCTCGAGTTGGTGATGCATTTCTGCTGTCAGACTGGCACTAGGGTAACCTTCCTTCTCCGCAAACGTATACAGACTCTGCTTCACCCGAGTGAGAATGATGCGATGCGCGGCTTGGGCAAGAAAATGGAAGTTAAACAGAGAATCATCTTCGTCGCTGAGCAGTCCTGAAATCAACGTCTTAGGTCGTGGACATTGTGTAAACTTTGGCAAAGGTATGTCTGATTCGTAGTCCAACAGCCCACTATGGGGCAGTAGATCCAGCTCTTGTGTGATCACTGTCTCGTACATCAAGGTGCACCAGAAGAGCCTTGAGAGCATGTCCCCCTCCCACGTCTCATAATCAATCGTTGACGTGCGTTTGAGAACGCTCGCACAACACAGGGCGGCTCTGTTCACGGTAGTCCAGGAATCCAAGGGTCGCAGGATTTGGGCGTAGTAAAGCGTCGATAGCATGTAAAACTGGCCAGCCTGGAGATCCGTCTGGCACATGAGAAACCCAAAGCGCTTCCGGGCTTCATTGAAGAACTTGAGACCAGGAGGTTCGTCAACAATAAGCCGGTACCAGTCGGGAGTAACGAAGCCTCGTCCAGTTGCAGAGTGCCGAGAAGGAAGACTAAAGTCGCCTTCTTCATGCGCTTTGACGGCTAAGCATCCCAACGCTAGTACGACAAGGACCAACACTGTCTCGATTTCGTAGCCGAATTCGTTGTCCATAGCTATACCTAACGTACTTGAGAAGAAGTGGTACTTGTCCAGTATAGGCGTATTGCGATGGAATACCGCAAAGTATGCATCTGCGAGACCTTTTACCGCCGACTGCGGTAGACTCATTAACCAACTATCGGGAGTGGTGTTGTATGGATGGCTAATGTCTATTGGCAGCGGCAATCTATGGTTCTCGATATCGACAATGTAGTCTTCGGGAAGCTCTTTGCGTGCGGAGATGAACACTTGGGGAAGGATCTGTTGAACGGCAGGCCACAAAGCAACCCGATGCTGGCTGAAGGAGAGATCCATTGCGCCCTGTACTTCTGGGAGGGCAAAGGGGCTTTTGGCTGGCGTTCCAACAACCTGTGGGGACATTGCAATGTCATGTATGCTCATCCTGTTGCGATGCAAATTATTTGAAGGTGCGGCTGCAGCATGGCTGCCAGGGCTGGGCTGCGAGAAAGTGGCATAAGGCGAGTGATGGTCCGGGATGGGTCCTGCAGGGGAAAGCGGCAACGTGACTGCAGCCTTGGGTGCATTGATGGCTGTAGTGAGATCTTCAATCTTGGATTCAAGCCTTCGGATAGCGTTTATAGCTACTGCCATGGACTGGTCCTTCTTTGTTGCTCGCGGTGCTTGGTAAGTGCAGTCGAGATTCATGGTCCTGCAGTAGCCACATCTTGGTCGGTCTTCGTCGCATCGAGTCTTTCTCGACCTACATACGTCGCAGGCCTGTCTGCGTCAGTTGCGCTTTCACGTGACCCATACACGGCTTAGCTTACCAGAGTGGCCATAAAAGAGCGCGCCTTTTTCAACGATGACGCATCGCCGTCCTCATGGCTGGCGCTGCCGTCGCCATCGTATGATGCTTGCCGCTCCAGAGGCTCTGCATGCGAAGCGGATATACTGGCATGAGGCCTCTTGGTCATAGCATCACAGGGCAAGATCTAGAAACAATGTGCATGCAAAGCGGCGGATTTATGTTGGAGCGATGTGAAGTGATTGTCTGCAGCTATGGGCGGACAACGGTGATGGGGGTGACTAGTACTAGCGTGCGTGCATGGGCCACTCCAGAGCCATGTCATCTCCTCGCCGGCCTCCTCCCTTCTGTTTACTCTCCTCTCGCCGCGAACCTCTCCGCCTGCTGCCCGCAGTCGTCCTCTAACCTCGCCGCGCTGCTGACCCTCGTGCACTTTAGATAGAACTTGCTCTTGTGATTCCCAACTAATATATCTTGCAGATTCGCGTTCGGCACTGTCGTGGGTGACTGCATTCCTGTGCATGCCCATATTGAACAGAACCGTTCCTGTTGAACCTGTCGTTGCCTTTGTCTGTATATCGCCCATCAGCATGTCCCCTGCTGCCTGCTGGACTTTTGTTCGTCCAGAAACCTTATTTCTGAATTCCTAATGTGGCGGCAGTCGACTGCAAACACCCGTTTCGTTGACGCTACCCTGGGTTCTCTGCGACCCTGTCAGCTTCTGGATTTGACGGACCCGCCCAAGGGCTTCTCTAAATCCTTATAGGCCTTTCGAATCCTGGATGCCTTAATCAATGCCATTGGCATTGGTCGTCTCGCTCCGTTGCCTCTCATTTAGCCGTTGATATGGTATCGATGATATTTCGTCGTTATGATCAATTGCTAATTGTGACAAGGACTCAGGTTTCTTCCAGATATCCTTGAATGAGCTTATTTACGTTATACTCGATTTTCTGCAACCCATGCCACCCGCTTGCCGGGTTGTTCAGACATGGCGCGTGACAATTGAGGAAGCGAGCAGTATCGTACCCTGGCTGTCAAATAGATGTCCTGTAACTCCCTCGACAGCCTGAATCTGCCACTGGCCAAATTCAGCATATCCTGGTTCTGAAATGGACATCTTCGGGCCCCGCCTGATGAGTTTGCCCAGCATTCGGCACAACCTTGTGCGGTATCAACCCTAATTATACCAGTACTCGTTTCCGTGTATCGGTTCTATCGATTTCGTCTCTGGTAGAATGCCGTTGCATGCGTGAGTATCTGCGCTCCGTCGTCTCAGAATCTCGATTTATCTGCGTGGTTGCGGGCAGCTGCCGTTCGCCAATAAACTCTCCGTCTTCCTGGCTCCGCAAGAGTGGATGGTCAATTTTCCTGTAAAGAAGTCAGCCTGTTTCAGAGGGGATTACTCTGATACCGCACGCTGTGGATGTTTTTGTTGGTGGATGGTGTTGTGGTCGGGGACGAGTCGACTTAGCGCGTCAAAAATTACTGCCTACACACGGCGGTTTCACAGGTCGTACCACCGGGAGACATGCTACCATCAGAGCACTTCAGAAAGAGTGAGGATAGATATTTTCTTGAACTCTTGGACATCTTGTCCACACTGGCTCTACCACCTCAGCCAAGGACAAGATATATGTTCCACGACTCTGTTTGTACCATTGAGGCACGGCTTACAAAGCGCAGCAAGCAAGTATTCGATGTGTTCACTTGCAGCCCAGGGACTCCTCACATCCGCCGAACCCACTAGTCCTCAGTCTGCAGTGGATTTTTCTCACAAACGGTGATCCCCTGTCTGACGAGCCTTGCTCCTGTCCAGGCACCGTTTCTTCTGTTTACAAGGGGGATCACTGCAGGTATCTCACCATCAGACCAAGGACAGTCACTGCTGGCATGCCTCCGGCGATCCTGTTGCAGCCAGTAGGGGTTCATAGAAGGGTTCATGTCAGTTCTACAGAGACATATGCCACGGGCCAGAGCCGCCAAGACAGTGAAGTGACGCATACGGAGCTGGACAAACCAGCCTGAAGCGAGTGTGAGAGTCAAAATTTGACGAGGACCTTGAATTTTCTGATCTCCTCACTCTCCTCTTATTTCCTGGGGAAATTTGCGTGTCTCCATTCATTTTCACACGGCACCATCCTTATGCCGTCAACACGCTAGACCCCTTTCTCCCTGCGCATACAAAAATTGCCTTTCCTCACTCTTCCACTCTACCTCGCCTACTCTACCCCATCAGCTTCAAAGAAACGAGCCGTCCTTTTTCTATACTTGCAAGCAAAATACTCTTCTCAAGTTCAATTCAAGTATCTGCTCTCAGCAAGATGCCACCGCCAACTACCACTATCACGATGATCGAGCCCGCTCGGCGCCGCTCTGTCGAGCTGCCAAACGAGGTCCTTTACAAGATCATACTCTTCACCCTCGGTCACAACGGCAGTGTCATCCATGGACAGTACTACGATATCTTGGCAAAGAGTGCTCTCTTTGAGCAACTCGCCAATTTCCTTTGCGTCTCGTCGAAATTCCGTGATCTCACAATGTCGGTCTTCTATGGACTACACAAGTTCAAGTTTCCCATCGACTTCGAGCCGCGCAGGAGCCTTGTGAACAAACATGGAAACACCCGTAATCCACTTCTCCCACCGATCTGGGCTCTAAGCTCCCTCCGACGCATCACTCTCGAGATTGCTATCACGGACTCGCGCCTTGAGCTGCCTCATCCTACACGCCGCGGCTTCCTTAATCGTGACACCCATGAGCCTCGCGAAGTCATATGGTTCAGATCCATCAAAAACCTCTACCGATACTGCCCCGGTGCACGCGTACTCCGCCTTCTCACCGACCATATGAAGGATCTGACTGTCCTTGACATCCACATTCTCGAAAACTTCAGGCACAAGGACAAGCAGGAGGCAATTGATCTATATCGCGCTGCTGGATTCAAGATCCGTGCCGATGAGGTCAACGTGCGCATCACCAATCTTTTCACGCCCGATTTTCCTCAGAAGCCATGGTACCCTGACTTGGTCAATGCCCTTAACATTGAGAAGAGGGTGATTGCCACTAATGGTGGTGACTGTCACTGATTCTGGTGACTGTCATTCATAAATAATGGATAATAAATCATGGATACAGGATGGATGGGTTGATGGATAGTAGATAGGATACAACGACCGAGTCACTGGCTGAGCAATCTTGTTCTTTTCAGATTGAGATAGTAGTACGTTGATCATACATGACCAGAATCTGAATCATGCCCCCCTATGAGTCTTTCAATATCTTCTGTGTCTCAGTAGAATTTTTGCTTTGTGTTTTGCAAAATCAACAGAACTATCAAGAAACAAGGTGAATGTGGCGAATTTTCATTGTTGTGTAAACAAACGGACTACTGGCTATTTGCACAGACTTGACGATGTCCTCGTTTGCCTAAAACGGTTAGACAGATGGTTGTTCTTGCAATGTGGTTCAAAGAAGACCACGTTCCTGTCGGGTACCTGTCAGGGCCATCTTAACCCTGTCACTAGCTAGACCCCTTGCATCTTAATACAACGGCAACGTAGTCGGGGAACTACGTGTGGGGTTGAATTGTGGAGAAGGGTTCATCGTGTCATCGGCCCAGGAACAGCGGCATAGTCATGACTCGTAGCAAACCTCCCCCACTACGCACGCCATCTTCCCCGCTGTATGCCTAAGCAGCACCGCATACATTCTCTGACTCAAATAAACATGTCCCCAAACTACTCGTCTCCTTTTTATCACCTGCAACAATGGCGTCCACACAAATCCATCCCTCCTTGACGCGTTCAAACGTCGAAGCTGCTCATGCTCTTATCAAACCCCACATCCATGATACCCCCGTGCTCACCAACACCACACTGAGCAATCTTGCCTCGACGCCCCAGACAGCCGAAGCACTGAAAGGAACTCAATGGGAAGGCCAAGAACCCGCCCATCCCAAAATCAACCTCTTCTTCAAATGCGAAAACTTCCAACGCATCGGCGCCTTCAAAGTCCGCGGCGCCTTCCATGCCGTCACACGCCTAATTGAGAAAGAAGGCATAGACGAAGTACGAAAAAAAGGCGTAGTAACACACAGCAGCGGTATATACATCTTTTCTTCTCTCTCCCTTCCATTCCAATCCCCCAATCTAATCTTTCTACTTGCAGGAAACCACGCACAAGCCCTGGCCCTCGCCGCCCGCACCTTCTCCATCCCCGCGCACATCGTCATGCCCACCATCTCGACGCCCTCGAAAATCGCCGGCACAAAAGCCCAAAACGCAACCGTCCACTTCTCGGGCTCCACAAGCACCGAGCGCGAAGCCGTCGTCGCAACCGTGATCAAAGACACGGGCGCCACTCTCGTCCCTCCGTATGACCACCCGAACATTATCCTCGGCCAGGGCACGCTGGCCCTCGAACTCCAGGAGCAGGCTACCAAGCTCCTTGCTCAGTCTGGGTCTGGGAACGGTAAACTCGATGCGGTTATCGCACCCTGTGGCGGCGGCGGCATGCTCAGCGGCATCGCAACAGCACTGCACGGCACGGGCATCCGCGTGTTCGGCGCGGAACCGAGTTTCCAGGGCGGTGACGATGCACGCAGGGGTGTTGCCGCGGGTGAGCGCGTCACATCTGTCAAGACGCTTACGATTGCAGATGGCTTGCGTACGCCGCTTGGAGAGCACACCTGGAGTATCATCTCGAAGCCAGAGTATGTGGCGGGCTTGTTTGCGGTGACTGAAGACCAGATTAAGAAGGCAATGCGCCTGGTTCTTGAGAGGATGAAGTGTTTTGTAGAGCCCTCTGCGGTCGTTGGGCTCGCGGTTGTGCTGTTTAACGAGGAGTTTAGGGCATTGGTGCAGAGGGAGGCTGGGGAGGAGGGATGGAATGTTGGTGTTGTCTTTAGCGGGGGGAACACGACGGTGGAGGCTATCGGCAAGATGTTTGCGGAGGTGCCAGAGGCAGTGAAGGAGAGGCAGGAGGGGATGTTGGCGATGGATGGCAAGAAAGAAGTCGAGAATGTGGCGGGATGATTTGCACGTATGTTTTGTTTTTTCATTATCTTACATATCGACATTACGACAACATTACTCAATCTCCTTCTTTTTTTTCTTTTCCTTCTATAGAGAAAGAAGTAGATAAAGCTCGCTCAAACCCACCTCTTAAACTCCCTCATAACACCCAAATCCCTCTTCTCTCCAATACTCGTGCCATTACTCTGCGCACTCTTCGGCAGCGTCGTAAAACCCTCTCTCGATGTCAGACTCTCGACCCTGCCGAGCAAAAACTCCAACTGCCTGTACGCACTGCTGGGCTGGTACTGCGGCACCATGTGCCCACTCATCGCCTGCTGCACAAACGTAAGCTTGCGCTCGGTAATCGTCTTGCCCATCAATCCCTTTGCGCTCAGACTCGTCAGGCTCAGATCGTCGTGGTAGGGGACGTAGAAGTCATCAGTGGGCGGGTTCTGGAAGCCCTGAAGGCCGCCCCACGTCATGTTCTGGATGGCCATCAGGGTGCCGTTGTGCAGCAGGACGTAGTCGAGTTCGCCGTGGGCAATGATTGTGCGGTCGAGGGCGTCGATGATGCGGGGGATGACTTCCCAGGACGACGGGGGCGAGGTATCTGTGTCGAGGACGCCGTTGGAGCACTCGGCCCAGGGCTGGATGGGCGCGTTGATGGCGGCCTGAACGTCGCTGCGGTTAAAGTAGATTTCGGTGCGTGGAGGCAGGTAGTCGAAGGAGCCGGGGAAGCCGAGGGGGTCCCAGAGGAGAGGGCAGGTGGTTGCGATTGCGTAGACGTCGAAGCAGGGGTTTGTGTAGATAACGGCGTCGAAAATGTCTTGCCAAAGGGAGCAGCCTTCTGTGTCGGAGTTGTTGGCCGGGGTGGGGAATTTGCTGGTCGGGGGGAAAGTGAGGTATTTTTCCATGTACTCGGTGTAGCCGCAGGCGTCGGCGCGGGCGTGGATGTCGTCCATGAAGCTCTGGTTGAAGTTGAAGAGACCGGCCCATTCGTCGACGTAGGCGACGGCAGGGACGTCGGTTAGGAGGCCGTCTTCGGCTACGCTGGGGTCGTAAAACATGACGCCCTTGACGTCGTAGTATGTTGAGTCGTTCTTGCTCAGCATGGCGTCGGCAATGTAGGGGACGTAGCGCCCAGCGTATGACTCGCCGGTGATGTACACTTTGCGGTTCTGCAGACCAAAAGTGTCAACAAAGTTCTTGAAAAAACCGAGGAACTCCGCGGCAGTCTCTTCTTGATTAGTAGCAGTCGGCGTTCCCTGAGAGAAGCCAGTGCCGACGGGCTGTTCGACCCAAACCATGTTGGTGAGGTTCGCCCAGTTCCATGGGTTGTAGACGGGACCTGGGCCGCTGCCGTATTGCCATGAGATGGGTCCGTTTTCCTGAAGAAATCCTTCGAGAGAAGAGCAGCCGGGACCACCTGCATCGTTTGTTAGACGTAGTTTGTGATAGTATTCGACTTTGGCTTACCGTTCAACCAGATGGTGATTTCGTCGCTAGCATCTGGGTTCTCCGAAGGAAAGAACCAAAAGTAGAGCTCCCGAGTCTCATTGGCAGCTTTGCTAATGGGGAGAAGACCAGCGTATGACTCGCCAATGTCGAAGTAGACTTCGGGAATAGCTCCAGCAGTGCCGTTCACAGCAAAGGCTATATGACGTTAGCTAACTTCCCGTCTCTTCTTTCTCGTGTACGCACCCTTGGAGGCTTCAGTGTTTATGATCTGAGTAGCCTGGCGCTTATGAGGGTGCACATTCTGCGCCGGTATGCCGATGCGAGGGCGAGGGAATTCCACCTTCCTGCCAACGGAACGAGCGCTCCGAGCAGAGACACTGGCTGTGAGGCCACACACGGCAATGATTGAAAGAAGCTGCATGGTGACTTGCTTCGGGCTTGAGGCGCCGGGGATTGAGTGTTAATCACGTCCAAGGTGTGATTATCAATGGCCGTGAAAGAGACAAAGCGGTGGGCGCGCAGTCTTCTTCAAGTACTTACAGGCGCAGCGCGCGAGGCTGACATCATTCAGGCATACCCTGCCAACGACGCGGCACATATCTAACTGTATTCCGATAGGTACTAGCGATATTAGGTTGGAAAACTGGAACCCAGCTCTATACCTGGTTAGGAAGGCGAGGGTATGATGGCAAGTTACGGCTTGCTCGGCCCATTGCTTGACTAGTAGCAACCAACACGCGCAACTGGCCGTTTGCAAAGTGCCCGCCAACGTCTACTCAGCTTGATCTTTCATCACGTAGGTCGAACATGCCCTCTAGAGGGTTTCAGAATCTCCCTACATACTGCTCAGGCACCGGTGGAAGTATCCAAAGTTTGCACTTGTGTGATAAACACCGCAAACAAAACAACGGACCAAACCATGTAGTAGCACGACAAAAGGTTCAGCAAGCCCCGCCACGGCAACCAAGCAATGCCACGCCCACTCGTATTTCCTAGATAGCAAAGCGGGCGACGCAGCTTCTTTGGCTATGGGTAAGAAAACGGGTTGTTCTTATCTCTCTCGTTAAAGCCGAAGTGTGGGGGCAAAGCCACAGCCTGTCCAATGCGCAGGCCCGCTGCAAATCGTTATAGGCAATCACACATGATGATTGGAGGGGAGGCAAACCGCGTCTTTTTCTAATCGGATTTGGCCGCGTCAATCTCGGGGAATCAAGCACCGTGGCGAATGCTTGTACTTATTGCTTATTAGGTGAGAACAAGGTGCGGGCCGTACTAACTGCATGAGGCAGCTCGTTGAGGTTTTGGAGGTGGCGCGAGGTGGCGCCGAGTTATAGCAGCCGTTGCGGAAAATGTCGCACGGGACTTGCGGAGGTGAACAGTATGGTTGTGTGGTCTACGTCTTGTTACGGAATACAACTGCCGCATGTGGCGGGGCTGGGATAAGTAGTAGGCTACATTCATGCTTGTACTTCATAAAGTTTAATACAATAACACTGAACTCGTGTGCCGAGCAGCATTCATCGGTTCTTTGGTTTGGAGAGTTTTGGAATTTTGAATAGTCGTAAATTCGTCATAAGACTAATATTCGTGAGTGTATGTTCTACCTAGGATCCGTTTCTACCCTGCAATACATGCAGCCTCGCAAAGTCACTCAGCCCTCACACTCCACACACATACAAACATCCTCTAAGCCTGGCCACCGAGACCGCCACGACGAACGCGACGCTCGCCAGACTTGGGTGCCGTCGCGAGGGTGAGCAATTGCTTGAAATCAGGTGTACCATAGCCCGTCACCGGATCCCATCCTTCGGTGGCATTCCAAGAAGCATACGGCACGAGTGGTGCTGGGAGGCCTGAATAGATGGATCTTCCTGTGCATCCTGTCGAGCCTCCAGCAACGATATCGGTCAAGCCCTTGTAGCCTTGCTCGTAGATCCATGGGTTCAAGAAGCCGAGTGAAGACATGCCGGCAGCCTTGCGAGCATTGTTCAGGAGTGCGACTACGGATGCGAAAACAGGAGCTGAAGCGCTCGTTCCTCCGACCGAAATCAGCCTGCCCTTGTCAAACACCTGGAAGCCTTGGCCCTGAGCAGCTACATCAGGAAATCCGCGTCCTTGAGGGTTGTAAAGCCCGTTCCAGCGGTCTCCGAGCTTTTCAAGATATTCTGATACGGCCTTCTCTTGATAAGCGGGTCGAGGCCATAGGTCAGAAAAGCCGCCCGAAGAGAAGCTGACAGCCTTTTCGGGCTCAACACCAACAGTGCCGCCAACCGAAGTGACGTAGGGGCAAGAAGCAGGGAAGATGGGCAAGAAACGTGTCGTGTTTTTTCCATCATTGGTTTGGCATGCAGAGCCAGGGCCAGTATCACCGCTGGAGAAGATGACGGACACACCACGAGCACCCAACTGGCCGATCAAATTGCACACCTTTTTTGCATATTCGGCGGGTACACTCTGCTCGCTCTCGCCGTAAGATGTGGTCAGCACGTCGGGGAGTTCTTCGTCTTCGAGGTTATTAAGATATGTAAAGTAATCCAGATACGGCTCATTAGCGTTGTCGCTCTCCGTAGGCTGGTCCAGATCAGGGATCAGGATACCGCGACCGGGAACAGTGAAGTAGCGGGTTTCAATGTCGGGCGCAACAAGACCTGTTGTGTACTGAATGTCAAGATTGGCTTCAACACTGCTGGCTGTCGAGTTCTGGTCAAAAGGCCCTGCATTGACAGATGTAACTTGGAATGTGGAACCAGCTGCTTTTGGTTGGAAAGTGCTGATGAATTGCTTCAAGTCGTCAAAGCGAGCATATTGCTCCAGGAAGCCGCTGACTCCGATAGTGACATTGGCATCGCTGGCATCATAGTCTTTGAAGTTGTAGAGGTTGGCGAGGCAGTCGGGAGTGATTTTCTTGTTACACGTCGCATTGACAACAAGCGCTGAGAATGGGACCTCTTCTTGACTAAAGACTTGGCTACGCTCCGGTTGGATCTGGCCGAAGCGAGTCGTAGGCTGGATGATGTCGATGTCATCTCGAATGTGCTTCGGCACCGAGTAGTCTAGAGAGCGGATCTTCTTGATATTCGCTCGGGCCTCGTTCTGATAGGTCTTGAATGTAGTGCTCATCATTTGCTCGGCACGTTTAACCGGAGCATAGAAGCTGATCCACTCGCCATCGTTCTGGATATCTCTGGCCTCAATTCCAGACTCTTGCAGCCAGTTCAGGATGTTTGAAGTTGACTTGGCGCGCGGTTTGATGAGGTCCTTGAGTTCGTGTCGCTTTAGGTGCTGTCCGTAGCGAGGATGGCTGGGAGAAGAAACCTCCATAAGCGTCCTCTCAAACAGCTCGCTATCCGCCTGTTATGTTCAGTAAAAAGCACCGCAAGATTCAAACATGGGTTCACAAAAGCAATTACTCACCGAGCGTACTGCGATGCGAAAGCGCAGCTTCTGGTCTGGATTGGGGGCGCCCACTTGACTCCAACCCTCAGGAACGCCATGAAGTCGCTCGACAACTTCACCCTCGACATGTGAAGTAGTTGAAGCGGAAACGGCACTGCCATGGGCAACAGCCAGCAGGCCGGTGAGGAGTGTGTTGTACTTCATGTTGCAGGATTGATAGGAGAACAGAGACAAGGAATGCAAGACAGCGATGGCGTCTCAATGACCTCACACACGCACACCTTTTTCCCTTTGAGACAGGAATCAATGATGTGGTGAAGAAGGCGCGTTTGCACGAAGCAAGACTGATAGTTATACCCTCTGGTGCCAAGGCACGAGATACGCAGTTGACTAGGCGATCTTCCCAGCCCGCCGCAATCATTAATATGGTCCATATGCAGTTCAAAGTTCGGATCAAAATAATGGGTCTCCACCTCTTGGCCAAGACAAATAGATGGCCAAGCACATTGGCTTGGTTGGATGAGCCTCGCAGATTGGTGGGTCTTGAAACAAGCCCCTCGAATCCTGATAGACAGCTGCCTTAATCGTGATAAGGCGAGCTCCACAACTGTATTGTGATCCGCAGGACCAGCTCCATGCCAGCCCAAGCATTTTCTCATGAGTGCGACTGAGATGGGCCAACATGTTACATGCATCACACACACAACGGATAGCGGTGTATGTACTAGTATGCAGCCCTGTCACATACTACGGGTCGAGTTGCACATGTGTCGACGCTGGACGAGGGTACTATAAGGGCCTGCAAATTGCTGCTGGATTATATCGGCATAGCAGCACGTATAGCCGACCCTGTGCATATCACTAGTGGCTTAGGGCTACTCAACGCTTATAAGAGGTTGGGTGTGCTTGGTGTTGTGTGCCAAAAGCCGTGTGGCGTTGGGAGCTGGGGTGGATCAACGGCCCATCTTTACCTTCCTAAAAGCAATACTGCACCCCGAACATGTCGTACGAGACAAGTCGCCGCCCGTTGATGAGCGCGTCATAGAGAATAGAGCTTAGAGCTAGCGTACGGGTAACATTCTTAGCGATGCCGAGGCGGATTTCGTCGCGGATAGTTGAATGTGTGGTTTGTAGGTTGCTTTGGCAGCAGCACAGCATTGCTTGAGGAAATGGTCAATGCGTCTCCATTTCACTCTAGTACTACGAACTTCCTGGTTAGGCAGTCGTTCAAGCTGTTTGCTATGCACACACGCCTATCATTGTCTTCCCTCGAACCCATTCTCCAAGATGGCGATAAGATCATCGAGCCGTTTAACAACAAGATCCGTATGCTCGTGCTCGGCGAGATCGTTGTTCACATCGTTGACCAGCAAGACCGTCGCAGCTCCTGCACGATGGCCCGCCGTCATGTCGTCAATGGAATCTCCTACCATGATCAAACTGTTTCCCCCATCTTCGTGCATCCAGTCCTTGGCAATGTGCAGAATGCCAGCAGGATCAGGCTTGGGAGGCCTAAACTCGCGCGTTACAATAGGGCTGAATTTGGACTTTGGCAGAAACGTGGTGAGGAGATGTGCGACCGGGGCATCGAAATTGCGCGTGCAAATGCCCTTCTTGATGCCTCGCGAGTCGAGATACTCCATCAGCTCCACGAGGCCGGCCTGTGGCTGTTGCGACTTCATTGCAGTCCGCTCAATGTTTCGAATCTTTTCCTGTGCCTCTTCTTGCTCGCTCTCGGGCAGCGAGTACACGTGATCCAGAATATCAGTCGGCTTCTCGATGCCGAGAGCGGCACGCATCTCTGCAAACATGTAATTCTGCGGCAGGCCTGTCGTGCATTAGTATCCTATCATTTCACCCGTGAGACCCAGAGGGTTGGTTACATAATGTCCCGTCGACATCGAACACGATGCCTTTCAACTCTGGTCTCTGGTCCCCCTCCTTCCTCTTTGCTGGATCCAGTGGGGCAAATCGCCGGGGCCGCTGAGCCATTGTGTGAACTGATCTCGATGCACGGAAACAGGGCCTGATATTGGTGCCAATACTGCGCAACGACCTGGCCGAAAATCCTCGATGACTGGCGTGCCGAGCAATGAAGGCATTCATGATGCTGATGGTGGCTCTCAAGCGCGATGGGTGTTCTCGGAGGTGGGTCCGGGATGAGCCGCACCAGCTTCACCCCTGCGGTTCTGCGTTCACCGCAGCATAACGTAATCTTACAGCACCTTGTCTGCGGCATAATTTCCTGTCCGTCTTTCCCTCCCCGCCTGAACAAACCACCCCAGCACCCGTGTCACCATCATCAATGCATTTAGCCTGAACTCATCTCTTGCCGCCTACCCACTGTACACAGCCATGAATCGTGTCGCATCGCATCGCCCGTCCTCTTCGCTAAGAACATGCTCTCTTTCCGCTGCCTTACTGATTCTCTGCTTACGCCCGCAGTCGCCCCGAATAGGTCCGGCCGATGGGCTCTCATGGTGCCATGCCATTTCACCGCCTCGTTCTCATGCCCTCAGTCGAGTACTTTTGTTGGTACCTGCTGGAGCCGATTTCTCGCATCGACACAGGATCCATGTGGTGTGCTAACCCGACAGACGGATTCCAGGAAGCGAGTTGGGCTACATTGTTGAATCTGCTGACAATCTTTGTAGCCGACAATGGAAGATATCTCGTTGCTATTCTGAGGCGCCCTGAAAGCTCAGCGCATCCATACCAAGTCACTGGTCATGTCTCCTTTTCCATGTTCAATCAAGAGGGCGCGATATTCACCAAGTCATCGATCCCAAAACGAGAGATGAATCTTGATGCCCACATACAACTTTACAGTGATTATGGTTACCCGCCAACATCTCGTGTCCATCTCACAAACAAGACGCCAATAACTAGGGCGGCATGTTCCCAAGCCTCGCCTTCCTCTCCCCCTGGTCCCCTTTCCAACACCCTTCGCACCTTTTATACTGTTTATAGTAGAATTGATGTTTATCGGCAAGGCACTGCGGTGCTTACAGCGGATCAATTCGATGACGTGCATCTTTGAGCGCGGGAAAGGATCGATGCTCGGACGTGCGACAAGGGCAGAAAAGTCTATCCGGCATACCAAAAATTTGGGTGCTTACTGCGACCAAAGGGTGCACCCGTGTGAACATCATATCGATCTACATATAGTTACACACTAAGACAACATCATAAATGAGAAGATAGAGAGAGAAAACGAAGATGCAACACAAAACGTATATTCTATGATTCCAATCGGGTATATTGTATATGTCTCTATTCTACTCCCCTTCGCATCGTCACACGTGGCTACCAGGCTCCACAACGCACCTAAGCCTGAGTAGCATTGGCATTGCGCACATTGACATACTTGCTCTGAGGAAAGTACAGCAAGTTCTCAGTGGGCTTGAGCGCACTCTCACCACCAAGCGCCTGGACAACAGTGCGAACAAGCGACTTGGGGTCAGTGACGGGACGGTCACCAGACGCCTCCCACCACCAAGCACCACCAAGCTGCTGCGCCTTGATGTACTGGGTCTTCCACTGCGCCACCTGAGGAGTATCGAAGCTAACGAGATCACGCGTCTTGCGGTTATATGTCCAGGCCGCACCGACCTCGTACGAAGCATATGCGGTACCCGAGTTGTTAAGAGGAAGCACCTTGTAGTCGTAGTTACCCGCTTGCCAGCTTCCAGGCATGCTACCGTTGAACTTGACGCCCGTGCCGTCGCCAAAGGGGTTGGGGTCCATGACGTTTGCAAAGGCCTGGCCGTACAGGGGCATGCCGAGCTGGATCTTGGTGGGGCTCGAGATCTTGCTCTTGTAGTACTGGATGGCGCGGTCGGTGTTGAAGGGGGTGAACTTCTTGTTCTTGGCGTCCCAGCCGTCGGTGGAGCGAGGGTTCGTCTTGCTGGGCCAGAGGTTGCTGTTGTGGCCGGTGAAGTTGGAGAAGCCGGGCCCTTGGTAGTCGAAAGCCATGAGGTTCCAGTAGTCGACGTAGGGGTCCATTTCTGCAATGGGAAAGATTTCGTAGTTTTGGGGGCCGGCGGGCGAGGAGATGCTGATGATGAAGCGGTAGTTGTTGGCGTAGGCGGCGGAGTAGGTGTCGAAGACCTGGGATCCAATGTTAGATAATGCTGGGTTAAAAGAAAAGATATATTAAACTTACATTGCGGCAGCGCTTAACGGCATCAGCGAAGTTAGCACTGGCCTCCAAGTCCTCGGGGTACTCGTAGTCAATGTCGATACCATCGATACCAAGATCCTTGATGAGCTCGAGCGAGCTGTCGCAGAACTTTTGCCTGCCGGCCTCGGTGGAGAAGGCAGGCTTGAAGTTATCTCTGAAGCTCCAGCCACCAATGGAGAGAGTGACCCTCAGGTGGCGGTTCTGCTGCTTGAGCTTGAACAGGGCACCAAAGTTACCAAGCAGAGTGGCGTTTCCAGCAACATCACCAGGGTAGGGGATCTGGATGTCCGCCCACTCGTCACTGAGCACGACTTCACCAGTGACGTTGTTCACGTTGGCAAAGGCATAGTTGACCTCGGTCAGTTGCTTGGCGGGGAGGTCGGTGACCTTGTAGTTGCGAGCGTAGATGCCCCAGTTGATGAAGAAGGTACTAGCATGGTATCCCGCGCTGCTGCTACTACCATAGCTGCTGGAAGAGTAGTGGGCGTGCTGGTGGCCCCTGAGACCCGGTGCTGCCTGGGCGAGCGAAGAGAGAGAGAGGAGAGCGGCGGCGTCGGTGAAACGCATCTTTAAAGACAGGACAGGCTGATAGCCAAATAAATGAATGTGATTAATTACTTAAAGAGAGTGTAACTCGCAGTGGCATGCGTGTGAGTGAAAAAAAAAAAGCTATATTCCGTGTAGACATCGATTCCATTTAAACAAATTCCTTGCCATCTAATCTAATGGCGTTTCGTCGGTGTCCAAGACCCAAGGGCTGTTCCAAGCCTTACGAATGGTATCTTTCATTGTTCGTTCCATCCCCTTTGGAGAAGAAAATACGGCCCGAAAACCTTTGGGGGGGGAGAACGGGAGTGTCTGCAGTGTCTGAGCGCAGAGTTTATTTCCTTAGCGTGGAGATTTTCGGCGCTTTTAAGCCTCACCGTTTCAGGTACCAGGAGCCGCGATTTCACCATCGCTCCTCCTACGATTTCAATTGGGCACGCCCCCTAGAACAACGTCCTTTGTGCATAGCAAAAGTCGGACCTACTACGTTCGAAAATACGTGTGCTCTGCTGGCCAAGAGGGATGAGGTACCCCGAACGTCCTGTCGATGTCAACGCTCCGAGGCACGGGTCGAATCGCAAGGCTCTTTGTTAGCCTTTGCTTAGCATCATCCTGGTTGGACCTTGCTCAAATCATCTTAAGCAGCGGTGCTCACGCGGCTATGCAGTTCTCCTAATCTAAAGGCTTCCATTTCCGTCTTCTCTTGCAACGATCACCCGTTGTAGAGGCGCAGTCAATCTAACACGGACTGGTCGAATACCTCACTCGCGCCACTGTCGCAAGATTTCCATGTCTGCGAAGTGTAAACTGAGAGTTTGTTCGAGACCTTTTTTTTCAAGGACCAGAACGCGTCCTGTTCGAATGTCATCATCAGTTCTTGGTGTTATTAAAATGTTGTGGTGCAGTCTTCGCGCTGACGCTACCTTATCCCTTTTTTTCTAGTGTATACCTTGCCCAGCTTGACATCCTGGACTCCCGCAAATGCATGGTTGTAGTGGGTTGCCCATGTGAGTACTATCGTCACACGCTGCCCCAAAGTGTCGATCAGTTGTGCTCCGAGCGGTTCCGGATCCGCAACCGTTGGTTGACAATGTTTCTGTTGGCCTTGTAGGGCTGGTTGTGGTTGGCAACTACTGCGAACCACCCGTGTCGCCTGTTTCGCAACGTGGGCAACTCAGAGTGTGCAGTTTACGTACGTACTACGTACGTACTAGCGCTAAGTAGACATTGCAGTTTAAGGCGCTAGTACCTTGGACAACGGGTATCGTGAGACGCCGCCTAGATCATGGCTTTGTCCTATTCACACTACAAAAATAGGTATCATACAAGCTCATTCTCAATGCAGTAGAACACTACAAGTAATTCGGGTAGTCAGCCAAGTCCAAGGGCCATGGGCGTAAGGCACGCGCTAGGCCTTCGATCAGCAGCCGTCTCACGAAAGACGGGTGATTCTGACAGCGGTCGAATGACTGGCGCGTGCATCCATGACAAGTCCATAGGACTCTCTGCGTTTCACACCCTTGAATAGCGCTCAAGCGCAGCAAGGAAATACTTGAAACAGTTGGCTCAGGTGTTTTCTTGGTGCTCCATCCAGGGACTACGCAGAGTACCAGACTCCATAAACAACCCATTTTACAAATGCTACTTGTATACATACCTTGTCTCGGTTACTCCCTCCCTCACAGACTATGATCAAGAGAACGCTTTGATACTATGATTGGAGTGTAAAGGGTCATGATCTTGATGAGGCCCGACACTTCGGTGGCGCATCCCTGGGCTATTCGTCAGCAAGGTTTCGTTTCTTCCGGATGTGCCGCTGCTCGGACAGGGGCATATATTGCGCAGCGAACGCAATCTGTCAGAACTATAAGCTTGCTGCAAATAGAGTTCAAAGGGGAAAACAGTCAACCACTCAGTTTGACCGACGTGCGACAGCTGCGACATACGCGACGTCGTCTTGACAGCAGCAGCAGTTCGTTGGCTGCAATGGCATTGTTGTTTCCCAAGATATATTCTTTGACTTTTTGCGCAGTCCAGAATTCCCACCGAGAAACTTCGGTAGTTGAGAATGGCAATCGACTGGACGAGCCACCCGCCCGGCAATAGAGACTGCGACGATCAGTTCGTGATGAACCTGAAGCAGGCTGGGAACCATAACACCGTCAGTCGCCCATGCCTTGGCACTGATTTTATTTGACTTGATTTTTTTGAACCGATGGAATGGGAGCGGATCACAATAGCCAAACAATGAATTAGGAGAAAGAAGGCCCAAGTTGGTTGATTGAATTTAGCTCTCAAGTCACGTGACCTTCCAGACCCCAATCACAATATCAGGGGCGTTGGCATAGTCACGTGACCGTTCAAATTGGCATTTGGACGGTTACATGACATAGTTGGTCATGTGATTCAGTCACCGTCATATCAAACAAGGGCCTAAAGAAAGATTGCCCAAGATATGTATCAGTCAATGAGTTCAAATGAATGCGCTGTGATGACGAGATGGGAAAGTTGGACAGGAGACGATATTGCGAATTTATAGGCATCGGAGCACATTGCTACACTGTGTGTCCTCATCACAACCATAGTTCGTTATGCTGCTATCTTACCGCAACTGTAGTTCTCTGGGTTTGATAGACGTGGAGGACTTGATTGGCACCAAATGGATCGAAAATGACGGGAGCCGCGAGAGGAAGGTCGACATTGTGTTGACGGGAGTCGAGATCGAGTTCGGATGGATTCGTGCCGTTGATGAGATGAGACGATATGGCGAATATATAGGCACAGGAGCGCTTTGCGCAATATAT